CTTCAAGGACAAAGACCTGTGAAAGATCTTGCCTTGAAGTACCGTACTTGTTTTGAGAAGAGTTACAGAGCGGCACATCCTCGACTCCTACGTTCAAGCAGACTCTCACACATTCACACTTCCCTCCCCCCAGGAACGCCATGTCAGCCAGGACAAGAGATAAGGGACTGGGGAAAGGAACCAGATGTACATAGGAAAACAGAATTCAGACAGGTAGTAAATAACACAGGTACAGCCCCAGCCTGATAATAACAATTACAACTATCATGCATACCATGATTGATAATCACATTTTTAGGAGCCTAGTTCAATAAACTGCAAAACATCGGATCAGCTTTTCCAATATGAGCTACAGTGTGAACACAAATAGGGAGGCACAGGTGTTTAATTTATGAGATCAGAATGGAATATTTACTGTAAAGGGGGAAAAAATGTTTTCAAATAGAGGCCATCATTGAACCAAAGCAAAGAGCACAATTTGGAACTTAAAGAGTTCAATTTCATTGTTTAAAGCTGTCCCCTGAGCAACTTCAGTAGAAATAATAAATGCAGCATGGTGAGTATTCCTTGGACTGAAGTTTAGCAATTGAAGGATTATTGAGTTAGCAGAGTGCTCCTTGTGTAAGCCATAGTTCTATCAGAGCAGTTCTTGAGAAAGAGCAGTTTCTGTCAGAGCTCTCTCAGCCCCGCCTACCTCACAGGCAAAGTTCCCTCTAAGTTGCAGTCTTGTGAGCAAAAATTCTACTTTGTGAGCTGCTGGCATGAAAGTTGTGAGCAAGCGATTTGGCTCTTGCATAAATTACCGTATTTTTCGGACCATAAGACGCACCTGACCTTAAGACGCACCTAGTTTTTAAAGGAGGAAAACAGGGAAAAAAATATTCTAAACCTTCGGTCCATAAGACGCACTCACTTTTCCTCCCACTTTTTTTGGAAGAAAAAGTGAGTCTTATGGTCCAAAAAATACGGTAATAGAAAACAGAGAGTGAGTATAAATGGGCAATTTTCTCAGTGGAGGGTGGTAAGCAGCGGGGTACCGCAGGGATCAGTACTTGGTAGTAGATAACTCACTGATCAGTTGTAGTAGATAAAGCAGGGATCAGTTGTAGTAGATAACACAGGGATCGGTGGATGTTGAACTGCCTAAGAACCTATGTTCTTTACATTCTGTGTTTCATTTAAGCCTCCTCAAGAAGGACAATGGGTCCTGCAAATGGCGACCGGAACTTCCAACCCCTCCTCCCATTTTGGTGGATGGGGAAGCGCATTATGAGATTGCCAACATTCTGGACTCTAAGATGAAATGTGGCAAACTGTTCTACCTAATGGAATGGGTTGACTTCAGACCCCAGCACTGTAAATGGGTGGAAGTAGGGGATATTCGGGCCCCTAACATGCTCAGAGACTTTCACAGACAGTTCCCGGAGAAACCGGGAGGTCTCCCGCCCTGACCGGGAGGTAGGGGTAAAATGTGTTTTTGAAGGGGCAGTATGTCAGCAAGCTGCCAAAGAGCTCTGTGTATCTTTTAAGTGTCTTTAAGTTCCTTTCTGTTTTACCCTGGGCCAGACTGTTGTATGCATTCCATTCTATGAACGCTATTACTGCTTTGAAACTTAGTTATCTTCCAAGGACTGCAGGTGTGGAGACGAAGCCAGCGAGCTGGACTGCTTTCTAACAAACTGAAGTGTGGGAAGCAATTATATGTTTATCTTCTAGGAGCAGTTGATTCTCAGAGAGTTTAGGCGCGCAATGTATCCTAATCATGCAAGCGGGAATCTTACCCATTGGCCCTGAAGGTTTATGAATTGGTTTATTATCTTGTGCTCAAGACTTTGTGACCATTCTAAACAGTTCCTGTGTTCCAGTTTCTTCAATGCTTTAATAAATACTACCTTGCTACAAGAGTGTGTTTATCTGGATGCTTGAGGGATCGGACAAGCGGTAAGAGAATACCTGAAATCCATGTAAGCAGACATTTTAGAGAAAATGACCACTCTCTTGATCCAACTAGAAGAGTTAAAGACTGCTCTCTCTCAGACTACTCAAAGGCTGATGCAGCAATTAACTTAGGGCTGGTGAATCAAGCAGATATCAAAGCCCTACAGGAGTTGTCTCCATCACAGAGAGACCACCTAATAACACTAGAAGTGGAAATGAAATCAGCAAATCAAAAATTTGGAGGATTGAAGGAAGAAGCTGAAGAAAATAAGAACCTAATAAACTTTATGGCTCTTCTCGTTGCTAATGCTTTGAATCTGGAAGAAGGTGTGCTTCCAGTCATTACTTTTGCCTCCTGAATGGGTCCTATATATATTAAAAAAAACAGATGCCCAAATCCGAGAGATGTCCTTATAACTATACCAGACACAAGAATTTGTTGGAAGAGTCTGGAAGCTGGAAAACTAGGAACTTCTCAATTTGAAGGTGAAAATTTGCAAGTACTTCCTGATATCCACAAAGAAACAATAGCCATTTGCTGAAGATTGAAACCAATCATACCTCCTGGAAAACTATATGTAGCCCATCAAGGTCACCAGCTCTATGCATGGGATGAAGAAAGTGGAATAGACTTACTTTATACACTTGAGCAAGAAACTCCCATGGAACAAGAAAACAAAAAAATGTTTAAGAGGAAGAGACTTTTTCCAACATTTCCTCAGAAGGCAAATAAAATTCCAGTGCCCAACAATGCAGGAGGACTTTGAGTCTTGATATAAATCTGAATTTGAAGATCTACAATCACAATGCTTCTACATCTGAAAATGTTTGTAACTATGGTTCTGTTTCATGTTTATCATCTACTAGGCTAATGGGGGGTGATGGGGGTTCGGGGTGGGTGAGTTACGAGAATCCTCAGCTGGTGGGAAAAGGCTATGACCTGCTGTGAAAGGTGCAAAACACCAATGCTTTCCTTATATTGATGTAATAGTCTCTGCTTGTGACGTCTGTGCTTCGACGTGGCAAATTAAATCTGTCCATGATTCGTGACAGCTGCTGGCGTATGTTGTCTGCAGACATCAGGGACTGGTAGTTAATGAAGTTGTCATAACACCACTGAGCCGATTTGTGATTTTGTTTGAAAGCATGGTAGACATTCAGCAAGGTCAAATGGTCTCCATCTTTGTGGGCAAACCTCACCTTGGCCTCATCTGCTGCTTTCTTGGCTTCTGCGGGGCGAACAAAACATGGTGGGACTGACAACATGGCAGCAATAGATAGAATCTCATTAGAACAGTTGTAGCCGCAACTTGCAATAACCGTTTTGGCCAGCTGTGGATCGAGGGGAAACTCTGCCATCAGGGATCCCAATTCAGTCAGGTCTCCATCATCATCCAAGGCAGCCAGGCAATTCAAAAGCTCTAGGGCTCTCTTCAAGGTTTCTGGAGCTGGTGGATCCATAAAATCAAAGCGAACCAAGTCATCTATACCGAGTTTCTTCAGCTGTAATACCACAGAATCCAAATTAGATGTCAGAATATCCGGATAGGAGTTGAGCTGCATCTTAGTTTCGTAGGTCTTCTCTGTATACAGCCGAAAACATTTTCCTGGCCTAGTACGGCCGGCGCGGCCAGCCCTCTGCCGAGCGGAAGCTTTGCTTATTGCAGTCACCAGGAGAGATTCTACTCTTATACGAGGATTGTACACGTTTTGCTTAGCAAATCCGGAATCGATGACAAACGTCACGCCATCTATCGTTAATGAAGTCTCAGCGATATTAGTAGATACAACCACCTTTCGTCCTATTGCACCGTTTGGTTTTTTCGGAGGGGGCGGCTCAAAAATCCTCTGCTGCTGCTCTGGTGGAAGTGTCGAATATAATGGAATGATTTTAATGTCACCAACTTCAGGGCCCAGACCATCAATTTCACACTTTATTCTCTTACAAGCTTCATTTATTTCCTCTTGGCTGGTAAGGAAGAGAAGAAGGTCTCCTTCCTCTTCTTCGCACATGTGAATCTGGATTACTGTACGAATGGCTGCCGCAAGATAATCGCTCTCTTGTTTTGGAGAATAAAAAATCTCCACAGGGTGTGTACGACCAGGGATAGTGAGAAGAGGACAGTTACCAAAATAAACTTGAAACTTGCTGGCATCTAGAGTAGCACTCATAATTATAACCTTTAAGTCAGACCTCTGCATTATGACTTCTTTCAAAACTCCCATCAAAATATCGGTAGCCAAAGTTCTTCCATGGGCTTCATCAAGAATTATTACTCCATAGCGTTCCAGCAAAGGGTCATTCATAGCTTCACGCAGTAATATACCATCAGTCATGTACTTGAGAATAGTTTTTGCTGAACTGCAGCTTTCAAATCGAATGGAGTAACCCACTTCCTCGCCCAACATCACATCCATTTCATTGGCAACCCGCCGAGCCACGCTCATTGCAGCAACTCTCCTGGGCTGGGTACATGCCACACCTCTCCCCGGTCCCGGCAGTGATCGCATGTAGTCAACACACCACTGAGGGATCTGTGTTGTTTTACCAGAACCTGTCTCACCAACAAGTACGAAACACCGGTGCCTCATCAAGATATTGGTAAACCTTTCCTTATACTCCCAGACAGGCAGCTGAAGCGAGCGGAAGCTTTGCTTATTGCAGTCACCAGGAGAGATTCTACTCTTATACGAGGATTAAACACCTTTTGCTTAGCAAATCCAGGATCGATGACAAACGCCACGCCATCTATCGTTAATGAAGTCTCAGCGATATTAGTAGATACAACCACCTTTCGTCCTATTGCACCGTTTGGTTTTTTCGAAGGGGGCGGCTCAAAAATCCTCTGCTGCTGCTCTGGTGGAAGTGTCGAATATAATGGAATGATTTTAATGTCACCAACTTCAGGGCCCAGACCATCAATTTCACACTTTATTCTCTTACAAGCTTCATTTATTTCCTCTTCGCTGGTAAGGAAGAGAAGAAGGTCTCCTTCCACTTCTTCGCACATGTGAATCTGGATTACTGTACGAATAGCTGCCTCAAAGTAATCTCTCTCTGGTTCTGGAGTATAAAAAATCTCCACAGGATGCGTACGACCAGGGATAGTGAGAAGAGGACAGTTATCAAAATAAATTTGAAACTTTCTGGCATCTAGAGTAGCACTCATAACTATAACTTTTAAGTCAGACCTTTGCCTTACAACTTCTTTCAAAAGTCCCATCAAAATATCGGTAGCCAAAGTTCTTCCATGGGCTTCATCAAGAATTATTACTCCATAGCGTTCCAGCAAAGGGTCATTCATAGCTTCACGCAGTAACATACCATCAGTGATGTACTTGAGAATAGTTTTTGCTGAACTGCAGTTTTCAAATCGAATGGAGTAACCCACTTCCTCGCCCAACATCACATCCATTTCATCGGCAACCCGCCGAGCCACGCTCATTGCAGCAACTCTCCTGGGCTGGGTACATGCCACACCTCTCCTCGGTCCCAGCAGTGATCGCATGTAGTCAACACACCACTGAGGGATCTGTGTTGTTTTACCAGAACCTGTCTCACCAACAAGCACGAAACACTGGTGCCTCGTCAAGATATTGGTAAACCTTTCCTTATACTCCCAGACGGGCAGCTGAAGCCGTTTTTTTAAGATTCCATAATAGCGAGTTGTGTGTGCTAGGTTTGTAAATGGGTTTATACCATGTGGAAATACAGTTGGCTTTAAAGATGGCAACCCAACATCAGCAATGAGCGTAGAATTGGTTGAAGGTCGTAAATCCTTCTCATCTTGTTCCCTCTCATTACCTTCATTACCTTTGAACTGCTTTGCAACAACTTTCAGTAAAAAGTCGAGGCAACTGATGTCCCAGATTCTCCACTTCAGTTGAGGAGGAAAAGCCACTGGATCCTCAAACTTCTCCTCCTCCTCCTGACACCTGGAGAGAAACAAGGTTAATCTACCATACATCTGATCCTGAACTCTCAAGTGGCAAAAAAGAAAAGGACTGAGAAAGAGGGAGGTGAACTGGGGACAGAAGGAGAGTGCAGGCAGGCAGGACAAGACAGGATTTCCTCAAGGGAAATGAGCATGATCCACTTACCTCTGCAAGGTGCTTCTGACATCCTGGAGGGAATAGAGAGAAAGAAATGGGAAATTAGGGCCTGCCACAGACCACACACCTCAGACCTGCAGGGTGACACGCTCTGTCCATTTGGTTTATCCACCTCAGGGTTATATATTTGTGGGGGAAATAGCAAGGCTAGCTCCATAGGTCCACCAGAGTACAGAGCAGACTGTCCCAGATGCCTGGGGAATACAGATATGCTACACATGACCACTTTTTAGGAGCTGCACTTCACCAACCCCAAACCATCAACCAGGCATAATGGTGGTACAATAGGAACTGCAATGTGGACTACTGGCATTTGGGTCCCATTGGCCAGGCAGCTGCTTTTGAACAAATGTATAGTCAAATATGAGAGATCACGGGACAGGCTAAATTTTGTAAAGAAAAACAACCGTGATATGATGACTAAATCTTGTTAGGGGAAAAAAAATATCTAATGCAGAAAGAAAAACTTGAGACCAATTTATTTCAAAGAAACACCTTTATGACTTGTTATTCACGGCATTAAAGAAGATATATATTTTTTTCTAACAAGGTTTAGTCATCATATCACAGTTGTTTTTCTTTACAAAGTTTGAACAAATTTATGACAGATGGTTCCCACAGCCTAAAGGGGGCAGCCTCTAGCCCAGGGGTGTCAAACATACAGCCCATGGGCCAGATCCAGACCCTGCAAGGCCCCAATCTGCCCCGAGAGCAACTGGCTAAGTGCTTCTTCCTGTTTCTTCCACTGCAGCTCCTTTTGGCCAGTCTCTCTTATTTTCTGCTTCAGAGGAGAGAAAGAAAGCCTTCCCTCAATTGGCTGAGGGAGGGGGAGGGAAACACCCAGAGAGAGGGGAGGAAATGGCATCTTGTGGGACTTCTAAGAAGATCAGCAAGGTTTTATTCCAGGTATAAGCACACTTTTTCTTGAGAGGGAGGGAGCCAGCCAGCAGCAGCAGCATACCAGAAAGAGAGAGAAAGTCCTGTGTTTAAGACCAAAGAGGTTTTATTCCAGGTATGTGAGAGGGAGAGTCCTATGTTTAAGGCCAAAAAATGTTTTATTCCAGGTATAAGTGTGTGTGAGAGAGTCCTGTGTTGATCACAAAACGTTTTATTCCAGGTATAAGACACACAGAGAGTCCTGCGTTTAACACCAAAAAATGTTTTATTCCAGGTATAAGTGAGAGAGAGACAGAGGGAGGGAGGGAGGGAGGAAAAGTGCCAGAGAGGGTGGGAAATCCCATGGTGCTTGGAGAGATCCCCCTTTCCATTTCTAACAAATGGGGGGGGGACTTAACAGCACAGCTTCCATTCCTTATTAGTGAAAGGGAGCAGGAGTCCAGCAGCACCTTAGTGACTAACAACATTTGTGGCAGGGTATGAGCTTCCATGAATCACTGCTCACTTCTTCAGATACAGCTGGAATGTGAGTTCATTTGTCCTTCTATCTTGGAGAGCAAAGTGATTTCAGGTGTTAAAAGATAATAGCAGGCATTGGTAATAAGAGAAGAAACCTAGGTCTGAATTCAGTCCAGGAGTCAGCATTGTCTTGAGCTTCATGATCAGTTGCAATTCAGCAGTCTCTCTTTCTTATCTCCCTTTGAAATTCCTTTGTAAGAGAATTGCTTTGTAAGAGAAATTCCTTTGTAAGAGAACAGGTCAGCAACTGAATGCCCTGGAAGGTTAAAATGTCCCCCCACTGTTTTTTGAATGTTGTGGTTTCTAATAGCAGTAGAAAGACTGAACCCAGTAGCACCTTAAAAACTAACAAAATTGTGGTATGTACTTTTGTGAGTCACTGCTCACTTCCTCAGACTTATTTCCATTTATTCTTTGCATCCTCCTGGACTGAATCCTCCTGTACCAAATTGAGACCTAGGTTTCCTGTCTTATTATCAATGCTGATATCTCCACCCATCTGCACATCACATCTAATCCAATTATGCCTGCTATTGCCATTCGGCATCTGAAATCATCTTTATAAAGTTTATCTCTCCAGTACCTTGTGTTAAATCTTATGGCACACATGGCCTGGCCCGATAAGGTGACATTTATGTCAGATCTGGCCCTTGTAACAAATGAGTTCAACACCTTTGCTCTAGCCATTCCTCAGGGGAGGGGCCACTTCTCAGTGGTAGAGCATCTGCTTGGCAGGAGGAGAGAAAAGTACACACATACCCACCCCAGCCAAACCCTGCTTCAGCTGAACGGCTCCTGGATGAGTCATACATTGAGGAAAGTGCAACTTTCTCCTGCCATAGGGCTAGAGCCCGCTGGTACAGTTACCAGTCTCAGGAGAGGCCTGCAGCAAGCAAGTTGGCTACTGCACAAATTAGTTTGCTCTGGAGCCCTCCTTCCTGAGCTAAGACCAAAATGTGTGAACTGGAGGCTAAAAACTGTGAGCTAGCTCACCCTAACTCATCTTAGAGGAAACACTGCCCCGGATTCTACCCCCAAATCTGCAGGGATTTCCCAAACTGGAGATGGACACCTTGCCTGCTGGGGGAAACCTGTGGGTTGCCTCACGTTGCCCCAACTGGCCTAATTCCCTGCTCTGGAGGTCAGGAAAACCTCCCCCACCCCTCCAGAACAGCGGCTGACTGATAAACCTGCTTCACAGATCTTCCAGCAGCGTTTTGTCTAGTTCAGAGCTCAAACACTTCTTCTCCAGGTGAGCTAGAGGTTGATCTATGAATAGGGTTGCCAACCTTCTGGTGATGGCTGGAGTTCTCCTGCTATTTACAACTGATTGCGAGGCCTTCCTCTAGGGAAACCGATCTCTGTAGTCCAGGGATCTACTGTAATTTCGTGGAGACCTTCAGGCCAGTGCTCCCTCTAAGCTGTGGAGTCTTGTGAGGGAAAATTCTTCTTTGTGAGCTGCTGGCATTAAAGTGGTGAGTGAGTGGTTTGGCTACTGCATAAACTAGCTTGCTCTGGAGCCCTCCTTCCTGAGCTAAGACAAAAAATGTGTGAGCCGGAGGCTAAAAAACTGTGAGTTAGCTCACACCAGCTCAGCTTAGAGGGAACACTGCTTCAGGCCCCACCTGGGGATTGGCAACGCCAGCACCGGGACTCGCACAGCTTCCCCTACCTACCTTGTGTTGCTGGGAAGCTTCCTGGGCAAGAACCACCTCATGGCCTTGGTGCTCCTCCAGTCTCTCGCAGAGGAGGGTCTCCTCATTTCGGCAGAAAAGGTTCAGAGCCTCCTGGTGTCTCCCGCAAACCCCTTCCTCCTCGGCTGCTTCCCCGTTTCCGCTCCGGAGGCTGATTTTCTTCAGTCTCCCCACCACGTTTGCCAGCTGCCGATTTGGCACGAGGTTCCTTTGCCGAACTGTTTCTCTGCACTGGGGGCAGCGGGAAGGCTCCGAGGCCCCCGACGACTCCCCCCAGCCCGAGGCCAGGCAGGCTCGGCAGAAGCTGTGGCCGCACTCGGGGATGCTCACCGGGTCCCTGAAAAAGTCCAGGCAGATGGGACAGGTGAGTGCCTCGCAGAGCTCCTGCAGGTGACCCCCGGCCGCCGCCATGGCTGCCTCGAGCGTCGGGAAGGGAGGGCTGGTTTCGTTTCCCTCTGTTGGCGAGGCTGTCTCGGCCCAGGAAGTTCCCTCCCTTCAAGCGCCTCAGGCTCTCTAAAGGGAAAGGTGAGGGTTCCCCTTGCTCGAAGGCCAGTCGAATCCGACTCTAGGGGGCGCTGCTCGTCTATCTAATGACGTGAAAATCAACGGACTGGGGCAACCGAGGCGAACTGCACAGCTTCTAGAGAAGGCGAAACAGATTTTTTTTAAAAAATTAATTCACTAAGGGGGAAAAAAATTGTGTGTGTGTAAAACGGAAGAAGAGAGCGTATTTTCATCACACCCGTCTTATAAAAGCCAAGGACCAGTCTGGGACGCCGGATCTGCGAAGGACCCAGACGAGTGCTGTGCCCAGACTTCTGGCCAGCCATCACGAGGCATACAGGGAATGCCTCCCCCCCCCACCAACTGGAGTGAAAAGAGTTGGGACACAGTTCGAGTCCAGCGGCACCTTAAAGACCAA